TGTGAGAAGTTAAATATCTCTCTCTTTCTCCTACATGCACACACGCACACAGGAAGAGACATGTTCACACTTCAGAGACTTCAACGTTAGGAGGCCCAACTTAGGAAACACATTGCAGTGTAACACTAAAAGCTTGTCCTCCTTAACAGCATCTACACATTTCATTTATCAACACAGAAAAGACATCCAAGCAAAAACCCAAACCTTGACATACAAGGTCTTACTATTTTAATAAGATTGGTTGTGTATAGCTGGAGACCTCGGCATCTACCAACCTGCAATGTTGTTTATGTGTACGGAAAAAACCTCACAGCTTTCATACTACACATAAGTAAAGAGAGTTTTTACCCAGCTTGCTGCTAACAGCACATGGAACGTGTTTTTGTCACAGCGCGAACCACACAGTGATCAGTGGGTTTGATAAAATTTGTAAGAACATCCTTTCAGTTTGTTTACATAGCAGGGCACATTCTGAGAAATGAACTTGAGCAAGATTGAAAAAAAATTAAATATATTTCCTTTACATATTTCAACTTTTTTCCAATGTGTAGGTAAAACACATATAGAGCAGTCAAAGGGACATTCACAGGAAATTGGTCATATATTTAGAGTAATGTACAGCACAGTTTTAAAATCCCCCACCTGTATGTTTATCAATACTTTTACCAGTCATTGCTTTGATCACCTGACGAATGGAAGACGACGGTCTTGATCCTTGATTGAGATAAGAGTGTGTGGGCTGTTTTGCTCTGTGTGACATTGTGGTAAAGGTTGAGACTGAATCAACATCTTTTCAGAATGATACAAGGATAGTGAGATGATAATGAGAGTGGTGACAAAAAAAATCCATGTTAACACATACGGTGCATTCAGAAAGTATTTAGACCCTTAATTTTTTGCGTTGCAGCCATATGCTAAAATGCATTCAATTATTTCTTTTTTCTACCCACATGAACTATTGTTCGGATATGCATTTTTAGCTGTGAGACCTCATAAGTGTGCCTTTCCAAATCAAGTCCAATTTATTGAATTAGCCACAGGTGGACTCCAGTCTAGTGAAGAAACACCTTCAAAGATGATTCAGAACAATGTGAAGCACCTGAGCTATATAGCAAAGAGTCTGAATAACTTTGTGATATTTCAGTGGTTTCTTTTTAATACATTTACTTTGTTATTGTGGGGCGTAGCGTGTATATTGACATGCTTTTTTAAAGTTTAGCATAGGGCTACAACAAAATGTCAATAAATAATTAAATAAATAAAAGGGGGTCTGAATGTTTTCTAAATCAACTGTAAACATTTAAATTGCATATTCTACCTTTTTCCATTGTGTTTTTATATGATTCTCAAAAAGTTGGACTATAGGTCATATTGGGAATATCACAGGCCATTCATACAGTTATAAAATCAAACTATTGTAGATGCACGCCATCTAGTGTGAAGTAAGTGTACTAACTAACTAACTAGATCAGGGGTGTCAACAAACTCAATTCCTGGAGGGCCAGAGCCCTGCAGACTTTATTCAACCCTAATTAAACACACCTGATCCAACTAATCAAGTCCTTCAGGCTTATTTGAAAACTACATGGTATGTGTGCTAGAGCAGGGTTGGAACAAAACTCTGAAGGTCTCTGGCCCTCCAGGAATTGAGTTTGACAACCCTGAACTAGATATTTCACCTTTGTGATGTAAACTGTCACAGTACACAGTTGATGGTAACACTTTATTTATTTTGATAGTCCACTTTAGACATGTTGCTGACTATAAGTAACTTTGCAAGTAAATATCCCCTGCCAGTCATTAGAGTATTAATAGTGCTTAATATCTGCTAACACAGTGGTTCCCAACCCTGGTCCTGGAGGCACCCCAACACTGCACATTTTGTATGTCTCGTTAATCAAACACACCTGATTCAGGTCATCAGCTCATTAGTAGAGACTCCAAGACCTGAAACTGGTGTGTCAGAGAAAGGAGACATGCAAAATGTGCAGTGTTGGGGTGCCTCCAGGACCAGGGTTGGGAACCACTGTGCTAACACTTTATTTTGATGGTCCCCAACAGATATTCTACTCTATAACTTTGCAAGCATGTCAACTTATTCTACTAACCCTAACATGTTAGAGTTGACGTAGTTACAAAGTTACTTGGTAAAATGCCTAAAGTGAACTATTGAAATAAAGTGTAACCAAAGCGTTTTTATTTATTTATTTATTCATTCATTAATTTTGCTATATAATGTTCCTTAAGTCTATATTGCAGTGATCTGATTTCAACTGTGGATCCAAATATAGTATTTAAATATGTGTGCATGTATATTTCTTGAAATATGTTTGACAGAGCTACAGAGTGAATCTATAAATCTTGCAGTGGTTTATAAATGTACACTTAGTTATGTCAGGTGAGGTACAGTTGCTGTAGCGATGAACAATAGACTGAATTCTTGCTGATTAAGAGATCATAGAGCACATCCCATTGCTTTTTTAACACTTACAAGAAGCGTGGTTCTTTCAGCAGTCTGGGGATCCTAAATCAAAGGTTTGAGTACATTTTACCTGATGGTTTGGTAATCTCTTGGACAGGTTTAGTTGAATCTTTATGGACTAATCACAAGAATGATCATCTGAGAGCACAAGGCTCTATTTACAAAGCAGCTCCGGCCCTCCAGGAATTGAGTTTGACACCCCTGATAAAGCACAATGGCAACAATACTGTGTATTGTAGTTACACAAAATCTGAAGAAAAAAAATGCTTGTGATGTTTTAAATTAGAGACTACATGGAATATCTGTGCTTATTAGGTTTTCTCAATCACTTTGGCTTAATTCTCGGTTTTCCCCTCAAAACAATAGAGTACGCTGATAAAAACTGATGAGTTGATGCAAAATCATTCATTCATTTATCAAAATCTGTCAGACACACATGTATATTCCATAAATATCTATGACATGGAATGTTTGTGATGTGTGCTAAATTGGCAAATGACCTGCCAAACAAATGTGACGTGTGGCCAAGTATGGTGACCCATACTTGGAATTAGTGCTCTGCATTTAACCCATCCAAAGTGCACACACACAGCAGTGAACACACGGCCCTCCAGGACCGAGTTTGGACAGCCCTGCATTAGAGCATACGTCTTCAACCCTGTTCCTGGGGACCCACTGTCCTGCAAAGTTTATTTCCAACCTGCTTCAGCACACCTGGCCTGTGACTTTTCAAGTGATCGTGAAGACCTTGATTAACTGATTCAGGTGTGTTTGATTAGGGTTGGAGCTGAACTCTGCAGGACAGTGGGTCCCCAGGAGCAGGGTTGAAGACCTATGCATTAGAGTTGTGGTTTTCCATAAAACAGTTGTGACAATTGCACTTACAGTTGAGAGATTATTAAGGTTACACTTTATTTTGATGGTCTCTTTAAGAAATTCAGTTGACTATAAGTAACTACATGTCAACTAACTCTCATTAGTATTAGTAGAGTATACTTGAAACTTAACAATGTCTTGCTTTGAAATGATTTTCTTGAAAAGTGTGCTTGAGATCTTTCTTGGGACCCAGGAATAGACTTCTGTCCTCTGTAGTGGACATTATATATTTTAGTGAATTTCTCTGAGAACTTGCATGTCACAGTTTTAAGTCTGGATGTCTTGTACAGAGCACATTCAGGGCTTTTCAGAGATACCAAATGTTTGGAAGTTTCATCATGACCACTCCCACTCTGGTCTTTAAAAATGGCTGACATTAGTTTAGTGATCAAATTTAAATCTCTTATGGGAATATGATAATATTTTGTAATTATTATTTAAATCTGACTAATTTTAAAGCTGTTTGTCATCAACATCTCAGGAAATTGTTAAGGGGTTTCAAATCAAAATATGACTTTCTGTTATGAAACAGGACATCGATTTCACATGTCCACTGCAGAGGATCATGTTTATTACGCATTTTGGGAGACACACCAAATGAATAGGGAAAGAAATTATATTTCAATATCCCTATGAAATATTAGATATCATTATGAAAATCTTGCCAATCATTACTCCCATTATGTTACAAATTATGGGGAAGTTGTGGCCAAAGGTTGCGGGTTCGAGTCTTGTACCGGCAGGGATTGTAGGTGGAGGGATGCCCACTGCTCCGGGTGTGTGTTCACGGTGTGTGTGTGCACTTTGGATGGGTTAAATGCACATGTCACTTCACTTTTTTTTTTCACTTTTTTAATATGCAAATTAGATACAATGTATAGATACAGTGGGAAAACCCGTTTATGACCATTTTACACACATACTGCATAAAGCAAAATGGTATATCAAATCATTGTTATATCTTTCATAACATAGTTAAAAATATATTTATACAAAGTTTGGTATAAAAAAAATCCTGAAACATATTGGTGATAAAAAAAATAAATAAATTGTTTTTGCCAATTCATGTCTTATATATATATATATATATATATAAGTCTTGGTGTCATCTACAGGGGATATAGCATAACCTATGAATACCATATAATTTTTCAAAATTGTTATTTTAAATTTTTTCTTATGCACTAAACAATGTAAAGACATGAAAAAAATACAGAATTCACAAAACTTTTTTTTTCTGGGTCTCAGGAGGTTAAAATAAATGCTACTTGGTTTGAAATCATGTCATACAATGCAACAATATTCATGGATTTTAAGGTGTGTGCTATCTGGGCTGTGACTATCCCCGTCTTCAGTGCACATGGGAACTCCTGAACAAAAAAAAAATATTGTACACAATAAAGCCAAACCACTGGCCTACGTGTAAAATGATACAAATAATTCGTGTCTCTTGTTTTCATAAAACGAAACAGAGTTCCTTTTTATCCCTGCTGTAATTGGCAACTCAACACCTGTCAGTGCTTTTCAACAAAACCTTTTTCTGATTTAAAAGGCATTGACCAGCGCGCTCTTTTCTCATTGGCTGATGGGCGGGATTTGTTTGGCCAATGAGCGCAGACTTTAGTTAAAAGACAATGCAGCGCTGCGTAAAGCAGGACGCGATACAAACTTCACTTTCTATGGATGTTTGTCATGTTATGAAGACTCATGTTAGCTCAGATTACAGCAGTACAGTGAAGGGACTGCTCTCGGGCGCTCAGCTGGAGCTCAGATAAGACGTCCTTCAGCATGTCAATAGTTTAAAACATTTAACGTGATGTTGTAGGGCAATGGAGAGTGAGCAGTCAGAAACATTTGGAGGCGGCGGAGGCGATTCATCAGGAGTCGAGGCGAGAGCCGAGCCGTATGAACCCGAACTACACTTAGAAGAATTTAAATGTCACTCCTCAGATTTTGTAGGTCTTGACGAAAAAGTGAAGGGAAGTGATTCTGATGAATGCAGCGACGAGATAAAATTGAGGAATGGGGATCACCTGGAAGAAGGAGAAAATGAAGGGGACGAGGATGAAATGGTAAAGTACATTGATTATAATTGCACTAAACACTCATGACATTCAGTTTGCGTATGTTTGAATACTGAAAGCTGTAAGCTCGCGACTGCAGGTGTTTGAGCAAAAACGCTCTGCATGCTGTAGTTAAAAATTATTTCCCATGTTGTTACTGTAGTTTTGGAGAATAGGGAAATATATTTTCCCTCTTTGATATTGATTGATATTGATATTCAACAACCATACATTCTGCTCCAACCTCTAACCGAAGGGTTACACCTCTGCTGTTAATTCATTGAGAATTATTTATTTATTTATTATTTTTAATTTAAGATTAATTGTAATTGATAATTGTAATATCGCCATAACATGCACACTAAATTGCGATTGCAAGGCTATAGTTTTCTCATACTGAACTGCGGACGGTCTCGTCTTTTAGCCTACATCTGTTTTCTCCTCCACATGTTTAACTTTTTAGTAACTTTTAACCATTTACAAAGATAAAGTTGCTTTATTTATTAATGTCTGACAAATAAATCAATAAATGCACATATTTGCATGGTATTAGGGATATGCCGGTATCAAATTTTCATGTTGCGATTAATTGCTAATTCGTTTATCACGGTATGCGGTATTATCACGATATTGAAATTTAATAGGGCTGCACGATAAATCGCATGCGATATTTAACGAGCATCTTATCAATAAAGCCGGCTCTGTAATCAGTGGTAAATCTCCATCACCTGCGGGCTTTCACATTGAGCAGCATTAACTACACAGAGCCCTTGTTCACTGACGAGCTGCGCAAAACCACGTTCATATTCGCGCGATTTTTTGCGCATTAAATATCGCATGCGATTTATCGTGCAGCCCTAAAATTTAGTTTAACAAAAGTGCTGTCATAATACAGTATAACAGGTTTAATAATTTTTTTCTTAACAAAAATTACTGAACATTTAAATGCAATAAAGCAATAAAGAAAAATGTATGAAGTTAAAAGTTTTACACAGATTAAAGTGCAAAAGAATTATAAAGAACAATAGGTATCACTTTACAAAAATACCTCATTAGTTAACCTTAGTTAATGCATTAACATTCACAATGAGCAATAGCTACATTTGCTACAGAAGTTATTAATCTTTGTTTCAAAAATACAAGTCTTGGTTCATGTTAGCTCATTAAATAACACTGTTGCAGCTTTCGATTTTAACAACCTGTTATTAAATATTGGAATACTTAAGATTAATTAACGTTCAGAAGAATTTTTCATTGGCAGTTAATGTTAACTAATGAATTAACTAATGTTAACTAATGTTTACCTAATGTAAAGTGTGACCGAACAATAAAGAATCAAAACACTTTCAAACAATATCTAGG